GGGCCGCGTAAAGGCCGGGGCGGGGCCGCGACAGAGTCGGCGGCGGGGCCGCGTGAGAGCCGGCGACGGGGCCGCGTAAGGGAGGGCGGCGGGGCCGCGTCAGTGGAGGCGGCTGAGCCGCAGGGGAAAAGGCGACCCGAGGGGTCGCTAAAAAAAATCGCGCCTCGGGGCGCGCTTCGGTGGGCCCAAAAAAAAAACGGTCCTTAGAAGGACCCGCTCTATACCATGTGAGAATAAGCGAACAGGAATGAATGAACTAGCAGTGAAAATGAGTACAAGTAGGAAACCCTAGAATTGTGTACCCCCTATAGGCTAACCCACTGTAGCCTACACAAGCATAACATATATAATGTTTGACAGACTCAGACTCAAACATTTCTGGAGTCTGACCCTACAGAGTAAACTTCCTGTGGTCCCTGGATGCGAGTTTATCGAGACGAAGCTTCTTGGAAATTTCCTTCCAATATACCCACTTTGAGCAGTAAAAGTGCCAGCACGTGAGCAAGGCACGGTGCACCAGCTGTTTGACACTCGAATGCACTCGATCTTCACGATCATCATGCAGTGCTAAGGGCGTGTCTCTTTTTTGCTTTTATGGATTTTGACGGACTGTCCGGTTGTATGTAAACGGACAGTTGCAATAGCGAGTTTCGGACAGTCCGATTCAAATTTCAAAACATTGGACAGTACGAAGGCAAAAGCATCACTTTCCCGAGTGCATCAGTATTCCAAAGTACTGTAGCATCGCCAGGCATCGTACACTCACGTAACCTCAGTCACACCCCATCGCCAACTTCGCATAGCTAGGCCGCGACTCGATGCCCCCTGAAAGCCAATCGTCAACCTTCTACATAGGCTATACCACACCAATTCAGTAAACAACGTCGAGGCACACACACGTAGCACTATCAAAACAGAACGATTGCAACGCCATGTCTAGGAGGCTGCTCCTATCAGTGCTCCACCTGCTTTAGGGAGGCTACCACGAGTTCATCGTCCGTCCAGCCTTTGAACAGCTCACGGATATCATTCTACTGCTTGAGGACGATGACCGCAACACGATGCGTAATGACCGTAGGAACCAGCGGGCACGATGGGATGTCCTTCTCGACTCCTTGCCTTACCGCATATTCATTGAAACGTTTAGAGTTAATCGGGCGGTGTTTGACTACCTAGTGGAGGCGTGGATAACGCGGAACGGGGACCGTCGTCGTGTAGTGCCCATTGAGACAGTGGTGGCTATGACTCTAGTGTATCTTGGCACGGGTGGCACATTCCGTCAGGTGGGATTGCAATTTGGGATTGCAACATGCCTTCCGCCTCATCTACAGGTTCATAGCGTTCATTGTCACGTGTTGGAGCCTCTGTGGGTTACACACCCCACCCTTGACCAATGTGCAGAAATGGCGGCAGAGTTCACTTACGAGGGGGGGATACCGGGTGTCATAGGGGCATTGGATGGGACTTTTATAGAATGCAGGGGGTTCGGACGCGACAAAGAAGACTTCAAAAACAGAAAGGGGTTCTACTCTATCCACCTACAGATAGCTTGTGATAGCAACGGCATTATCTGGGACTACAACGTCGGCTATCCGGGGAGTGTGAATGACGCGCGGGTGTTCAACAACTCACCCCTCCGAGAGTGCATGGAAGCAGGGGATTTAGGCAACTACATGCTGGTGAGCGACGCCGCGTATGCCTTGAAAAACTACACATGCGTCCCATGGCGTGCTACACCGGGACGAGCTCTGCCAAGGGCTAAGGACAAATGGAACACACAACAGTCAAGGCAACGGATGGTGGTTGAACAAGTGAACGGGAGATTGAAGGGGAAATGGCGGATCCTTGATGCTCGTATGGAGTGCCATAGTGACCGCGTCCCGCAGGTCGTGAGCGCGTGCGTCGCGATGCACAACATCGAGCTGACGATCGGTAGCCGCGATCGACTTGGCCCACCAAGCGAGCGGAATCGTTGGTGGCTCGAGGGTCCGGCGTCACGGCTTCGACTCACCGGCTCCGAGGTCCGCGGGTTCACGCCTCGTCTTCGGATGAAGAGGTGGACTGCGGCGATCTACGCCTCCTACTGCGTCGCTCATTCCGCGAAGCCGCGAAACACCTCCCGGGTAAGCGCCACGAACTTGCTCCAGTTCTCCTCTTGACGCTTGTCGTTATGGTCGCGGAGCTCTCGAACAAGATCCGCCGTGCTCTGGGCTCTGGATCGCCCAGTAGATTTCCGACCTTGGCCCTTTGATCCTGTGTTACCCCCCTTGCCAACCTTGCCTTCTGGCTGCTGGCGAGGATACTGATACCATGCATGCCGGCTGCATCCCTCTTGCCCATCAGACGACGCGAGCGCTCCCCCGACTTGGCGACGACCACGGATCGAGACACCCGTCGTCGCACCTGATTCCGTCGCGGCGGCAGTAGGAGACGCCGACGGGATGGTGTCTGGCGATAGAGGGGACGTATTCCCGCGGCGGGTTGCATTGTCTCGAGCAGGGGAAGGTGCAGGTGACGCGGGCGGGGGATTGGGAGTTGGAGATGTGGGCACCACCACTCCAGTCAGCGTGGTCTCAATAGCCACCGGGGGGTTGGAGGGTATGGGATGCGGGAGTGGCGGGAAAGGCGGTGGTAGCGCGATGCTGGGAGCCGGACTGTCCGTGTTCGAGGCGGCATTCGGTGTATGCGACGGGGACGTCGCATTCGTTGTAGATGGCCGACGACGAGCGTTTGCGGGAGGTGGCGTTACCGTCGCAGACCTGGAACTTGTGGCTCGATTGACGCCCGTGCCTGCAAGTACGGGGGGGATGGTACTTGGGCGCTCACCCCATAAAGCGTCGCCGAGGTGGAACCAAGGAGGCAGACCAGTGGCGCGTCCCGCCCCCGAGCGCTTGATGCGATCGTTGATGCGGCGCCACTGCTCCTTCATGCGATTGTACTTGGCTTTAAGAGCGGAAATGTCGTGGCGCCACGCCGGATTTTGCAGCAGGAGCTCCTCCTGGATGAGCGGATACCAGCTTCGGCCTTGCTGACCCGTACGCGCGCAGATTTGGGCCTGGCGGGAGATGAAAGCGGCGAGGACCTCGCACTCCTCCTCTGGGGTCCAGCGCGGCTGCGTCCTCCCCGTAGATCTGCGTGACGGAGCGGTGGTCTCGCGGGTCGGGGACATCTCCTGCTCAGCGAGCTCCTCCTCAACCTCCCCGAGCGTCGCGGCGTTGTCCATATCTGCGCCTAGTCCGTAGTCGTCGTCGGCGTCGTATGAGGCTGTGGGAGACGGGATGTGGAAGACCCTCCAGTCAACTTGTGCGTTGGTGGTTGTGGTCGGGGTTTGAGCATTGGCGGGAGTGGGATTTTGAATATGAGACTCTTGTGTCTCTGGTGCAGCAGCATCCGGATCAGGTTGGGTAGAGGTAGTAGGGACGGAGGTGTTGGGTGTGGTGTTTGCCGGTCCAGAGTTCTCATTTCCGCTGGACTGCTCCATTGCGTGCTGATTGTGGTGGTTCGGTTCGAAAAGGAATCGTCTTTGTAGTGTAGACGGGCTAGTGGGGGTGTCTACGGTTCAATGTTCTATTTGGCGCCGCGCGCCCAATATTTTGTTTAGACATGCGGCTCGGTGTTTTTTTTCGTTTTTTCGCGCGCCAATCAGATGTCAGAGATTGAATTCCGTCCGTTTGCACGTCGAACTGACAAAGGTCCACATTGTGAACCGTTGCTTGGAGGGAAAAGTGATGTGACGTTTCGAACAGTGGGCGAAATCGCGAAGACCATGGCGAAAAAGTTGCGAAACAATGCGAAATAGGTAACCTTTTCGCGAGCCGGACGGTCCACGGTTCGAACCGTCAGCGTAAAAAAAGAGACACGCCCTAATGGTGTTAATGGTAAGTGGTGAAGCGGGAAATTTAACGGAGCCAAACTGGGAAATCTAGCCGATTGCTCAACAAATCGGCGAATAGAACAAAGAATCGTTGGAAGATAAGTTCTCCGCACATTTGGTATATCGCAATGTTTGGTGCTTTGAGACTTTTCTCCGTGCCAAAACGTGTGACAATCACCTAAATCTCAATGAAAAGGAAAGAGATTGGTGCACCCAAGGTGTAGGCTGGTCAGAAAATGATTTCGCTGCTGATTCGTACAACGCTGCCGAACAAGTTACGTGCAGCACTGCCTGGTTCTCCCACACCAAGCGACTGTTCTTGACTGCTGCCAGCTCAGCTGCGAGGCAGCTCGCTTGCTGGCACTTCCAAAGTCACGCGACAAGTGCCCCTTGCATTGCTAGCATCACACATGAACTGGAACAGTCAGAGCAAGCCACAGACAAACAATTGCTATAAATAGCGACAAAAATTTGGCTCTCACGCGACACTTGGAAAAATGCGACAAATCACACAAGTATCCTGCAGCGCTGATCATGTTCCCTGATGCGGATCCGCCGACCCTGATTGGTCAGACTGTCTGACTTCAGGGCACTGACCAATCAGAGTGCCTCATTTCTGGCCGAAGTGCCTTCAGAGTAATTTTTTTTTTTTGGGGTGAAGATCAGAGTGCTTGAATTTGAAGCGCCAGCCCTGACGTCGCCTCTTGTTGCTCTTGAAGGGCATAAATTTGTGAGGGAATTGAAGTGGTTGTATGGAAGAATCCTCCGTGCAATAGACGCAGCACATGTCATGGAGGAACCATTTGCGGGACGGTGTTCAGGCAAAGCAAAACACACATTCCCATCCCAAATCATGCGACAAATTGCTTTGCCCACACACACCATGCCTCCCACATCCATATCATCATGCTCCTCATCCTCAAAACCTCCTCTTGAGACATCTTAAAGGCCACTCAGTAATCACCAGCCAGCCACTCATCAATGAACACATAGCCCCACCCCGCCTCCTCCCAGAACCTGCTTCCCCACCTCGACCCCTACTCTTCCTCCCATAGCCCCCTACTCTTGCTCCCATTACCCCCTACTCTTTCTCTTATTATCCCCCTACTCTTCCTCCCATAACCCCCTACTCTTCTTCCCATAGCCCCTCCATTTCATCGCTCTCTTCATTCCCCTCGTGAGCATCCATGAATCCTCCCTCCCCCTCGTTATAGTCACCTCCTCTCCCCTCGTTGTAGTAACCTCCTCCTACTCCTCTTCCTCCTCCTCTTGCCCCTGCAGCACCAAACCCTCCACTGCTGTGCCCAAAACGGCCGCCGCTGCCCTCTCTGAAGTCACGATCGGAATAGTCACCACCAGCACCAGTACCATCACTATCATCCCCATCATCATCACCACCACCACCACTACCACCACCATCGCTATAGCCAGCGCCAGCAACAACACCACCACCATCACCACTACCACCACTGTAACCAGCAGCAGCACCAGCACCACCACCACCACTCACCCCAGCAGAAAAAACAGCATAGCCCTGCCCACCCCCACTTCCCCTCTCTGCTCCTCCCCATCCTCCTTCCCTCCTCCCCTCTCCTCTCTCTGCCTCCCCTCCTGCCATCACCCCTGTAATTCTCCTCCTCACTCTCCTCCTCTTCACCTTCGCTTCTGCAAAAGGTATTCCCCCACTTCCCCCCTCCCCATCGCTCCCCTCCCCTCCCCCAACTCCTCCCCCTATTGCTCCGCCCACTCCTCCCCCTCGACCTTCTTCCGTCCCCTCTGCTTCCCCATCCCCTTGAATGCCAATAACTGCAATGTCTGCAACCTTTGCCCCCCTCCCCCTGCCTCTCCCCCTCCCCCTCCCCCTCCCTCTCCCCCGCCCCCCTCCTGCCCTCCCCGCCCCTCCTCTCCCCCTTCCCCTCCTACCACCCCCTCTCCCCCTCCCACCCCTTCCCCTTCCCCTCCCCCCCTCCACCACCCCCTCTCCAACCCCCACCCCTCCCTCCCCACCCACATCCACACTCTCCTCTCTCTCACTCTCATCCACCCCTAACACTTCCACCCCTTCCTCCTCTCCACCTCCTCTCCCTTCTTCCCCTTCCCTCCTCTCCACTTTCAGTCTCTTCCTCTCCCTCCTCTGCATCAACCTCTCAGCCTTCTCTGTTAAAATCTCCTGGGCGTCCCTCCCCTGCTCAATCACCTGAAGCCACTGCGACTCACTCAGCGCATCCGTATAAACCACCTGCTTCCTCTTCCTCCTCCCCATCTCCACCCCCACCCCATCCTCCCCCACAGCCCCCTCCCCACCCTCCCCTCCCTCCCCCCCCTTGAAAAACACCCACTCCGGCACCTCGTCCTTTTCCATCAGTCCAAGCCGCGCCGCCCCAAACTGCCGCCTCCGCATCTCATCCATCCGCTCAAACATCTCAAACTCCTCCTCCGATCTCGAAATCAACCGATTCGTCTCACTCTCATCCGGCAAATCAAGAGCCAAATCGGGAATCTTCCCTCGCTTCATAATCTGCTCCAATAGCTCTCTCCTCTCCTGTGCCGTCGACGTGGTATTGAACATGCCCGCTTGAATCACCTTCGCGTCGATCCCCATCTTGCTTTTTGCCCTCTCTAAAATCTCCTCCTCTATAGACCCCACGCTCACAAGCACAAACACCCGAACCTCCCGCTTCTGCCCAATCCTGTGCGCCCGATCCTCTGCCTGCTGATCCATCTGTGGATTCCAATCAGAATCAAATAAAATCACCGTATCGGCCGTTTGCAGGTTCAGCCCCAGGCCGCCCGCACGCGTGCTCAGCAGGAAGATAAAATACGGCGAATCCGGAGCGTTGTACAGCTGTAAAAGGCGGCCTCGTTCGTCTGTTTGGTCATGCCGTCCAGACGCAGATAAAGCATGCCGACCGATCGCAGGTAATCCTCTAACAAATCCATCACCTTAGTCATCTGAGAGAACATTAAAATCCTGTGCCCCCCGGCCTGTAACTTGGGCAGAATCCGGTCCAGCAGCTCAAACTTTCCACTTGCCCGAACGCGCTCGTTGGGGGAATTCGGCTGGTAGGGATGGTCGAGTGCGTCTAGTAGAAAGAGGTACGGGTGGTTGCAGCACTTGCGCAGCTGCATGGCTGTGTTCTGAAGCGCTCTGGATTTGCCTCCTCCCCCGCTGTCGTCTAGGCCGACGCAGCCGGCGGAGACGATTTGGGAGTAGTACTCGCGCTGCCATGCGGACATGTCGCATTTGAGGATCACTTGGCGCTTCTGTGGGAGGAATTTCTCGACTTCGGATTTTTTTCGACGGAGAATAAAGGGACGGATGACCTGGGGAGAAGGGGGGAGGAGAAGGGGAGGAGAAGGGGAAGGGAGGGGGAAGGGAGTAGGATAAGAAACGGAGGGCAGTGGAGACGTGAGGAAAGAGTAAAGGAGGGGGCGATTTGGGAGTGGTATTCGCGCTGCCACGCGGACATGTCACATTTGAGGATGACTTGGCGCTTCTGAGGGAGGAATTTCGCAACCTCTGACTTGTTTCGACGCACGATGAAGGGCCGGATGACCTGTGGAGGGGGGAGGAGAATGGGCGGGGAAAGGGGAGGGTTTTGATGGTAGGGGAAAGGGGGAGATCACTCGTTGGCACTTCTGAGGGAGGAATTTCTCAACCTCTGACTTCTTTCGACGCAGGATGACCTGGGGGGGGTGGGGGGTCGGGGGAGTGGGGGGAAGGGAGGGTAAACGAGGAGATGAGTTGCGGTGAGTTCACTTGTCGCCACTTCTGAGGGGGGGACTTCTCAACCCCAGACTCCTTTCGACGCAGGATAAAGGGATGCAAGACCTGTGTGGGCCGATGGGGGTTAAAGGAAGAGAGGGAGGGTAGGGGACAGGAGGAGAAAAAAAAAGGGGGGGGAGGGAAGGAGGAATGGAACGCAGGGGAAGGCCAGGAGGAAAAAGATCGGAGTCAGTCACATTGCACTTATCCGAACACAGTGCATTAAAACCTTAAGAAAAAAGGAGATCAACCCACCTGGTGCAGCCTCCGAATGACCAGCAGCTGCTCCTGCTCGTTCAGAGACACGCCTGCTTTGCAACCAGCCAGGTCAAACCAAACGCACCTGGTGCAGGCGTCAAATGACCAGCAGCTGCTCCTCCTCGTTCAGAGACACGTGGCACTTATCCGCAAACGGCGCATTACACCTACCTACCAACACCAAACCAAACGCACCTGGTGCAGGCGTCGAATCACCAGCAGCTGTTTCTCCTCGTTCAGAGACACGTCGCACTTATCCGCAAACGGCGCATTGAACCAGTCCTCGAATGTACCACGCATGCTTCAAACCAGTCACACCTGTTTTTCCTGTGTTCCTTTGTTCCTTTGTGTTCTTTTCAGGAAGAAGGGAGAGGGGGAGGAGGGGGGAGGGGGAGGAGGAAGAGGAGAGGAGGGATGGAAACATTTCAGAATAAACCCACCTGGTGCAGCCTCCGAATGACCAGCAGCTGTTCCTCCTCGTTCAGAGACACATCGCACTTATCCGCAAACGGCGCATTGAACCAGTCCTCAAAATTGTCGCTCGAGTTGAAAATTGCGGGCAGAAGAAAATTCAGCAGTGCCCAGAGCTCCCCGAGGCTGTTCTGAATCGGCGTCCCGGTCAGCAAAAGTCTTTTCCGGATCGAGTAACCAGCCACCAGCGTTTTACTAAGTACCGACTCGTGGTTCTTAAGCCGGTGACCCTCGTCTACTATCACATAGTGCCACTTAATCTTTTTTAGGAACGCCTTATCCCTGATAATAAGGTCATAGTGCGTCAGAAGCACACTGAACTTATACTCTTCCCCTTCTGGCCCAGTCACTCCCCCTCCTCCCCCTCCTCCCCCCACTCCCCCCACTCCCCCTCCTCCCCCCACTCCCCCTCCTCCCCCAGACTCCTCACTCCCCCAATCATCATCCACCACACTCCCTCCTCTCCCTCCCCTCCCTCCTCGCCCTCCCCCCCTCCACCCGCCCCTCCTCCCTCCTCCTCCTCTCCTCCCTGCAAGCGCCCCTCCAAACTTCTCTCTCAGAAGCTTCCTCTCGTCCTGCCTTCCATCATACATCACCACACTGCAAGAGGGAAACCACGCCGCAAACTCCACTCCCCAGTTCGGAAGCACAGCCTTGGGAGCCAACACCAGATGCGGGCCGTAATCGCCCTTTTTCTCCGCCATAAACGCGATAAAAGCGATCGTTTGTATGGTTTTCCCGAGCCCCATTTCGTCCGCCAAAATGCCATTTAAATTGTTATTATAAAGGGAGACCATCCACTGTAACCCCTCCATCTGATACTGCCGAAGCTGCCGCCCGGGTGACAATAACGAGGGCTGCTCCGTCACCTTCTCTTCTATCGAATGCACTGCTCGATCATACCGCCTCTGCCCCTCCATTAAGTCACGCTTCGACTGCCCTGCTGCCCCCTCCTGCGGCCCCTCTTGCCCCTCTCCTGTCCCCCCTCCCTCCCCTCCTGCTCCCCCATCCGCCTCTGCTGCTCCCCTCCCCTCACCTCCCCCAAAAGCAACATCAACCCCTCCTCCACCCCCCACACCACCTCCCACACCACCCTCCCCACCACCACCCCCACCCCCACCAGCATCTTTCTGTTTCTGAACCATCGCCCCCAGCCTCTGTAAAAGCTCATCCGTTTTCCCTAAAAGAGTATGCAACCTCTCGTTCTTACTCTCCTCCACTAGTTTGAAATACGCCTCCTGATCCCCAGCTTTAAGTGCCTGCACTCGCATTCGCTCAGCACGCGACGCCCGCTGCTTCTGACGCGCGTGCCACGTCAGCACGCCGTCGCTCCGCTGCTTCCGCCGCCGCTGCTCCGCCAGGCTGGCCGCTGACATGTCGCGCCCCGCCTGCGCCACGTCAGCGAAGAACCGGGCGGCGGATTCTACCGAGTCTGCCGCCCGACGGGCCCGTCGAGCCGCCTTTGGAAAGGAAAGGGGGAAGATGGGGGGTGGGGGGAGATGAGGTTGGGAAAAAGGTTGGGGGAGGTAGAGTAGTGGGCGAATGGAAAGGGGGGAAGAGCACGGAGGGGAGATTGGGGAGGAACAAGGGATGGCAGCTTGAATCACTATTGAAATCACAAACACCAAAATACAGAAAAACTGACCACACAACAAAAAACACATCTCACAAATAGGGGAAAAACTAAACGACAAAAAAGTAAACAAAAAAACCACAGACAGGGTGATAAATCAACCACCAAACCCACCTCAATCGCCTCAGAAGCTTCAAAATCCAAATCCAAAACCCCGCCAACACCAATTCCATTAACACCAGCCCCACCACCAGCAGCCCGAGCAGCCGCCGCCGCCGCCGCTGCAGCATCCCTCTTCCTTGCCTCTATCTCAAACCCTAACCCCTCCTCATAGTAATCCTCGTCCCATAAGTCTTCCACCTCAGCCTCCACCTCCCACGCCTCCACATCCTCCTCTGATGGCTTCATGCCAGGTGGCAGCTGCCACCTCAGCATCGCGCGTTCCACGTCAGCATGCGTCAGACGCAGCAGGCTCCAGTCCAGCAGCGGCTGGTGCCGCCCATGTGCCACGTTGGCCTTCATGATTCTCTCTTCCTCCTCCTTTCTCACTCGCTTCTCTCTCTCCTTATCCACTTTCTCACTCTCATCCCCCTCTCCCAATACCTCTATCTCACTCTCACTTTCAACTGCTCTCCATTTCTTCCCCACCCGCCCACTTTCCACTGCCACATCTTCTACCACTTTGACTGTATCCGATTCGTCATCGGCCAGCTCAGCACGTGCCACGTCAGCATCTGCCACGTCAGCATGCCCGTTCACCGAACGACCAGTCAGCTCCCCGCCCGAAGCCCAGTCAGCGATCCTCTTCTCAGCTAGCACCTCAAAACGAACCTTCCTCTGCAACCCACGAAGCTTCAGGCACCTGAGCTGGATCTCCAATGATCTCCTGACAGCTGGCGCCTGCACAACCGCCAGCAAGGATTCCAGTTTCACAATCCTCTCTCCCACTTTCTCACTCTCCTCCCTCTCCCCTTCCTCCACGAGCTTCCCCCACTCCCCCTCTCTCACCATCTCCCTCCCCACCCTCACTCTCTCCTCTGCCGCCCGCCTGATCCTCCTGAGCGCCTCGACCTTCTGACGCACCAGCTGCGGCGGGAAAAGGCCCGCCAGCTGGCGGTCCGTGAGTGGCTGGCCAGCCGCCAGCGTGGCGAAGCAGTCGCGCTGCGATTGGAGGAGGGAGAGCTGAGCTGGCGTGAGGGATAAGAGAGGGGCGGCGGGCGTAGGACTAGGAGGAGGAGGAAAGGGGGGAGGGAGGTGTGAGGATGGAGCAAGAGCAGCAGGAGGGGGATGGGGTGGAGGAAGAGGAGAGGGAAGAGTATTGGTAGCAGAGAGGGGTTCTGCAGCAGAGACAGGGGCATGAGCTGGGGGTGGCGGTGTGGGCAAGAAGGAAGATACTCTAGTGGCCGCATCAGCTGGTGCGTCAGCAACAGGTGAGTCAGTAGTATCCGCAGCAGCACCCACTCCAGTCTCTGCCTTCACAGCAGCAGCAGAGATTTGAGCTGACTCGGGAACCTCAGCATCGCTGGGCAACTCGAGTGAGTTAATACCAGCTGTCACTTGAGCGTCCAGCTGAGCGTCAGGCAGCTCAGCACAGCCAGGAACACTCTGGGTTACACCCTGGGTTGCACTCCGTGTTACAGCCTGTGTTACACTCTGGGTCGCACTCTGTGTTACAGCCTGTGTTACACTCTGCGTTGCACTCTGCGTTACAGCCTGTGTTACACCCTGGGTTACGCTCTGTGCTGCAGCAGCCTTGACTGGTACACTTGCCACATCCAGCACAAGAGGCCTCTCGTGAGTAGGCACCTGCTGCACAGCAGTGCTCTCTGTTGATAGTTTTTCAGTCGACTCAACAGCTGCCGTGTCCTGTAGAGCAGTCTTGAGTGCTGGGATCTGCATTACTATGCCATTCGTTATAGGCACGTCTGCTGATGCCGCTGGTGCACTCACTGCAGCTGCTGCTGCGACATCAACAAGAAGAGGAGTGGCAGCAGGAGCGGAAGCAGGAGCAGTTGCTAACAAATCCTCGCGTGCACTGTTTTCGTCAGCTGCTGCTGCTGCCCCCTCCTCCTCATGTGGCCCCTCTCCCTTTTTCTCCTCTTCCCCCATTGCCCCTATTTCCATCCCCTCGTCCCCCTTCTCTTCTTCCTCCCTCGCCTCTCTTCCTGGCTCCTCTTCCCCCGCCTTCTCTCTTCGTGTCACGTCGTCCCCCTTCTCACCGCTTCCTGACTCCGCTTCCTTCATCTCCTCATCCCCATCATCCATTTCACCCGTCAGTTTTCTCCCCTTCTCCTCTGCCCCCTTATCTTCTCCCCTCTTTTCCTCTCCCCCCTTATCCTCTCCCCCCTTATCCTCTCCCCCCTTATCCTCTCCCCCCTTCTCCTCTCCAACCTTCTCTCCCCCCTTCTCCTCTCCCCCCTTCTCCTCTCCCCCCTTCTCCTCTCCCCCCTTCTCCTCTCCCCCCTTCTCCTCTCCCCCCTTCTCCTCTCCCCCCTTATCCTCTCCAACCTTCTCCTCTTCCCCCTTCTCCTCTTCCCCCTTCTCCTCTCCCCCCTTCTCCTCTCCCCCCTTCTCCTCTCCCCCCTTCTCCTCTCCTCCCTTCTCCTCTCCCCCCTTCTCCTCTCCCCCCTTCTCCTCCCCCCCCTTCTCCTCTCCCCCCTTCTCCTCTCCCCCCTTCTCCTCTCCCCCCTTCTCCTCTCCGCCCTTCTCCTCTCCCCCCTTCTCCCCTTTCAACTTCTTCCCTCCACCCTCATCCTCTTTCCCCATCTCCTCATCCCCCTTCTTTTCATCCCCTTTCTCCCCATCCGCCATCTCATCCCCCCCTTTCTCTTCTTGATCTTTCCCTCCCCCTCCTCTCTGCTCCTCCTCGCCTCTTTCTCCCCCCACTCCTCCCTGATCCACTCCACACCCACTCGAAGGAGAAAAATCTCCTCTATCTCCCCCCTTAATGTCACCACTGCCTGTTGCCGCCTCTCCGGCCACTTTTTCAATTCCCCCAAACCAGCACCTTCCCCATCCCCTTCCCCTTCCGCAAACGCGCCTTCCCCTTGTCCCTCCACCAACGCGCCTTGCCCTTGCCCCTCCGCCAAAACGTCTTCCGCCCCTACTGCCACCACTTCCCCCTCCCGCTGCATTGGGGGAGATCCGCCCACTCCCACGCCCTTCCCCTCACTTGCTTCCGCCCCTCCCCCACCCTCCCCGGCGTCTCCTTCCCCCACTGTTTCGGCGATTCCCCCTTCTCCCGCCAATTCCGCTCCCCTTCCGGCATCTGAACCCAACCCACCACCCGCAACACCAGTTCCGCCTTCCGACGGACCTTCCGCCAGGCCTTCCGCCAGGACTTCCGCGGGCCCATCCGCAGGCTCCGCGGAACCTGCCGCGGAGCCCTCCGCCGGATCCATTGCGCCTGGCCCTCCCTTTACGTCGCTTTCCTTACAAGACTCGCGCGAGTGATTTCAAAGTCTCTCAAACGTCTCGACCCATAAATCACTCTCCTCAGTCTCGAATGCTCAGGTCGACGGGCCGTGGGGACCTTGAGGACAATAAGAACCAACTGTAGAACAAAACGTCTTTTATTTCCGCCTTTAAGAGATTAATATTTTGAGGCGCCTCAAAAGGACAATAAGAACCGAATGTGAAACAAACGTCTTTTATTCCCGCCTTTAAGAGATTAAGGATCCGCTCGGTTGATTCCCGTGGTGGAACGCGAACGCCTCTGCTAAGGGGGAATATGCTGACAACGATCGGTGAAAACAGAATTCAGAAACTAAACAGAAGTTCCTGAAAATCTTCAAAACACCCCGCGCAAGTCGAGACTAGTGGCTCAAGCTCGTGCCCCTATCCGAACCGAGGTCGTCAGGTGGAAGGTTAACACAAGCGGGAGTTTGCAGCGGCCAATCGTCGCTGATCCACCATAGACAAGAGGCAACGCAGAACTACCGAAGTGCTTTTGCCTACAAGCGTGTTTGTGGTTCGATAAAAACCAATAGCGTGACCTTGGGATTAGGTCAAAAGTGCTTTTGGCTTCAAATTCAAACAGACGTATCAGCCAGAGGTGAAGGGTCAGCTAGTGGTAACCTATGCGAAGACTGCGTTTCGCATCGCAACCAACCACATTGAAATTTCGATTCGCGAAAAGGAACGGCAGCATCCTCGTAAGTACATCAATACAATACCCGTGTCATTTCGATAATGAGACAACGCAATTCCCGAATGATGGATCTTTACATCACATTCAAAAATACATTGTTCTGTCAGTCATTATGAGAGCAACGCAATTCGGACACTGGTTGAATGATGCATGGATGGCACGGTTTACGAAATGGAAGCTCCTTGGAAGCGATGTATGCAAGAAATCCCTCGCCATTTGAATGCTGCAATCGATGGTGCGACAGATGGTGTTGAGAGTGATGTGGGCAGGTTGTTGGTGCTCGTGGCCCCTTTGGGCTTGCTGGGTTGAGAATACTCCAATGAGGCTGATAGCTGATCCAAGTTTCGCAAGGCAGCATAATCCCGAACCTGCAGGCCAGGAAGACAAGGGAGACAAATGCATGCTCAGGCTTAAAAAAAAACAATGGGGAAAACTAATAAAAAACAGGAATAAAACAAAAACAAAACAAAACACATTCGAAGCCATACAAGTCGGCCTACACATGCACGCGCCTCCTGACTCACTTCAAAAGTCGACTTGAATCTCCCCTTCCCCGGCATCACAGCCCTACACTGCTGCCTTCCCTGCCCCTTCCTCCCCTCCCTCCTTTCCCACCACCACCACCACAACCTCCTCACTCCCCCCCTCCCCATCCTCCACCGAATCCTCCACCTTCCTCCCTTGCAAACCCTCCTTCTCCACTCCTCCCTCCTTTACCTCTCCTTCCTTCACCCCGCCTTCCCCTGCTGCCTCCACCACAGCAGCAGCCTCTTGCACCAACGCCACCTCCCCAGCAGCAGCACTCGCTTCAGCAGCAGCCGCCGCAGCTTCAGCCTTCATCCCCGCTTCAGCCTGCAACACCACCCCATAGTACCCCTCATTCCCCTCCATGCAAGTCTTAAGCGCCTCAGTGGCCCCCACACACCGGTCCACTATGCTCTCCCCTGCCTTTTCTGCTGCCTCCACACACCCCTCCCATGCGATAAACTCCTCCCTGCACGGGCCTCCCTTCATGAACTGGCAGAACGGGCAGTCATCTGTACTGTCCTCTTCCTCTCCTGCCTTCTCCTTCCCCTCACCTCCTCCCTCTTTCACCTCTTCTGCCAAAGTCTCCCCCAACGCACTAACCGCTTCACCCACCTCTCTCCCTGCTTCCTCCACGCTCTCCCCTGCCTTTGCCACCTCACTCACCACCGCAGCCACCACTGCTTCCGCCTTCTCCTCCGCTTCTCTCGTCAACTCCGCTCCCTTCGCCTCTAGTTCTTCCACATACCTCGACAGAACATCCACAGCATCAGCAAGAGGAGGTCTCTCGAGAATTTCCTCCGCTTTCTTTTCTACCTCTGCGTTCACATCCTCTGTTTTCTTCTCTGCCTTTGCTCCTAGTTCAGCAACCACGCCTGCTACAGCATCCACAGCGTCGGCTAGAGGGGGGCTTTTGAGAATCTCCTCTGCTTTCTCTTCTGCCTTTGCCTCTAACTCAGCCACATAGCCTGCGAGAGCATCAACAGCGTCAGCTAGAGGGGAGCTCTTATCCTCCGTTTCACCTTCTCCCCCGTCCACTACCACTGTTACGATTATTTCCTCCGGGCCTGCGTCTGCCGAGCCTGCGGCCGCCGAGCCTGGAGACGATTCAGCTTCGGCAGGTTCAGGTGCGGCGGCATCACTTGCTGGTGTGGTGACTGGTTCGGAAGAAGCCGAATCTGTGGGGGCGGCTACCGGTGATGCTGATGCTTGTGGTGCTTGTGGTGCATCTGATGGTGGTGGTGCTGATGATGGTGCCGGGTGGTGGGACTTCGCTGCTGCGGAGGAACGGCGGTCTGATGGAGGGTCAAAGAAGGAGAAAGAGAGCAACACAGGGAGTAAAAAACACTGACCGACTCACCGAATGAAAGACTCACTGACAGGCTGGCTGAAGACTGGCTGAGGGACTAACGGACTGACTGGCTAACCTATCTGGTGACTGACGAACTGACGGACTGACTGACTGACGATTGTTGGTTAACAGCAGCCAACGGCACAGTGGCCCATTGTTTACTAGAAGAAAAGAGCCGTCGTACCTGAGAGAATGCGCTCCCCAACGAGCCCAGCCAACGCGAGACCGGCGGTCAGCAGCACGAAATCTCGGCCGTCCGTCGTTCCGAACCTCTTCTGAAGCGACTCGACAAACGAGGGGATCTCCGCTCCCGCCTTAGCTGCCACCTTGGACGATCCTGACGCAACACCTGAGGAAACTCCTGAAGCTCCTGTTGCTGCAGAGCACACGGTAGTCGTCGACGCGAATCTGGCATTCTGGCAGCTGATTGGCGCATCGCGAACGGGACGCGAAAGAGACTCGACGGTTCGAGTGGCTGCAGCGTCCAGTCTGGCCCGGATCTCGCTTCTTCTCCGGATGTGCCGCGCAGAGGCGGAGGAGAGGAAGCGGAACATCGGGGGAGAGCGTGTAAGGCGGAGAGTTTGTGGAGTGGAGAGTGTGTGGAGTGGAGAGTGTGTGGACAGGAGAATCCGAGAGGTCCAAATGTGCGAACAGGATAGGTAACCCTGTGCGATCGCTTACTTCGCCGGAGAAAAGGGTCGAACGTCCTGGATTCGCAGAAGGAAGATGGATCAGGAAAGGGCGATCGAGGGTGGAGCTGCAGCTGAAGCAAGATCGGTGTTTCGTGCTGAGCTTGCCTGAGGCAGGTGGGAATGCACATGGGGGGATAAGGGAGAAGAAAAACGTTGGTGAGATGACCGCACTTACAACGAAGCTGCGAGCTTTAAGCAAGCTGGATAGCGAATGAAGGTGCAGGTTGGAAGACTGTGATCTAACGGTTCATAAATCAGGCAAGCGATACGAGCCCACTAGGATCAGGGACACCCCTGGATCGTTAGCTGAGTCGATCGGATACCCGTCGACAGGAGTGGCACGGATGAGGTTGAATAAACTAGTTAATATGCGATTACGGGCCGCCAGTACAACTAGGATTGAGTCAACTCAGATATATACGGATCCGACAATGCAATAAGTTACTGCGTAGGTTGGATCGCATCGTCCGCGTCTCGGATCCTGAAATGGCCTCTAAGTCGACAATAAGGAGGCGAAACAAGATCGCATGGAGATTACCGGAGAGGTGACGAAGGGTTTGTATGGCTGAAAGGCAGGATCGGATACAAAGAATAGTTTCAGGAACAGACGGATGAAAAGCGATCTGTAAGAAGCGTTAAACATGCTCTTTCTCACCTTGAAAACGCGGAAGGCGCCTACACGGAAATCGACTCGGATCTGCCTCCACGAGAAAGCGGCTCGAACAAACAGCCTAGTAGAAAGCTGGTCGCACGAGTTTGAGAAGCAACACCCGCAAAACTCACACCCTACGCCCTCTCTCAAGAACCTACTGGAAGAGCTACGCGCACTTCAAAGCTAGAATAGCTACTTAGCTTCTAGCTTAGTGGTGGTGGGGTGGGGTGGTCTAAAATCCATGGCTGTGACAAACCATTGCCTGGCATGGAGCGATGGTTGTTCCGTCAAGCATGGAATATCATTTCCTAGTTACCTGGGATCCCCTAACGCTTAGAGCAATTATGGGCATACAAGTCAACTAAGAACGTAGAAATTATCCCAGAAGAAAAGGGTGAGGTGCTGAATGCAATCAGATGAGTCGGAAAACCCCAACCCTGAAGGAACGGAAAGTTTTTAAACATTCTGTGGGGCGCGGTCGAAAATACATCTTGAACTTCAGGTGTTCCAAAGATCTCGGGAGGGAAAATATGTCACAAGTAACCAGCATAGGACTCGATGACGTGAATGGTAAAAAAGTAACGCGTACGGTCAGTGTATCGGGTTTGCTGACGGGTTTGGTAACTGGGGTCATGGATTCAATCACTAACAACAGGTTAAAAATCACGCGAATGGTCACACATGGAACTCCCGCCAAAATTTCTTGAAACTCTACAAAATTCCCGCTCGCGCCCAGCCAATCAGCTAACTTAGGAAAGAATCTAAAACCCAATCGGAATCGGATACGGTTTGGGAACGGATCAGCCCTAAACACCTGGCGAATTGTGTTCAGGGCTGATTCATCCGAAAATGCATCCAGGCTCGTTTTGGGTATTACCTTTTTTCGGCGAGAGTTTCGTCTGTGACCATTCGCGTTATTTTTTTTCCCAGTTGATTGTGACTGATTCCGTGAAACGTTTTCTCAAACATGTGAAAACACCCTTTGCAGTGACCGTACCCGTCGTTTCTTTACCAAACATATTATCGAGACCCTTCTTGATTACTAGTCGCATATATTCCCATTTCGGGAGACTGGCGATTCGTCTACTGTAGTTTCCCAGGCTGTACATGCATAAAGGTATTAGTATAACAGTTAAAAACAAATTGTTTTCTCATCTATGAGAGAGAACCCCATCTTTTATCTCACACCAAGATCTCCATTGAACAGCCCTCAAAATTAGCTAGGCGGGAAAATATAAACGTGTGGCCCTTTATTCTGCAAGAGAGACTTGCTATAGTCTCTGTGCACCACTATTCATAAGCCATAACAACCATAAGGCTGGATCCCATGTGGTACACCCAGTCTCCATTATTACAACACACCTCCAAGCAGACGGACTGCTAACTCTCATAATACATCCCCTTTTGTAGCCTTCTCCTTAACCAGCAGGAGCACCGCCGCACACATTCTTCCCGGCCGCTGCCTTTTGAGCGATTGGCTTCAGCCGCACCATGATATCATCAAACTTGGGGCGGTCCTTGGGGTCACTGGGAAGCAAAAAGAGAGTGGAGAGGGGAGAGGCAGTGGCATGGGGCTGAGTCAGCTGGAATGAGCAATTGGCTTCAGCCGCACCGTGAAGTCGTCAAGCTTGGGACGCTCCTTGGGGTCACTGGGAGACAAGAAAAGGGAGACACGGGGTGTGTGCAGAGGGTGTGGGCAGAGGGCGGGGGAAGGCGGTGTGGCTTTCTAGTATAGTCGACCCAAGCCCGCCACAGAGCAACCACGATATCGTCAAACTTGGGGTGGTCTCTGGGGTGACTGGGAAGCACAAGGGAGAGATATGGGGTGTGGGCAGAGGACGAAACATGGGGTGATTTCTGAGTCTGCTCAGTCTTTCTTCAGCAAATCAGCCGCAGCATGATATCATCAAACTTGGGGCGGTCCCGGGTGTGACTGGGAGGCACACAGCGGGTGGAGAGTGGAGACATGGGAGTGGAGAGGGAGTACATGAGATGTGGGCAGCGGGAGTGACATGGGTTGTGGACAGAGGTGTGACATGGGTTGTGGGCAGAGGAACTTACTTGTGCCAGCAGTCGAGGATGAGTGTGGAGAGAGCCGGGTCGAGGTCAGGAGGGACGGTGAGGCGTTGGTTCTGGAATCCCACTGCTCCCACCACCTAGAATACGAGAGATACGGGAAGATGGGGGAGGTGGAAGTGAGGGGGGAGAGAGGAGAGTTGGCGCAGAACGGAAGACACTAGTCAACCTAGAGAGTCTGGGTTTTGAGTCGACTCAAAAGTCAACTCGCAGAACGGAAGACACTAGTCAACCTAGAGAGTCTGGGTTGGAGGTCAGGAGGGACGGTGAGGCGTTGGTTCTGGAACCCCACTGCTCCCACCACCTGGGGTAGAGGAGAGAGAGGAGGGAAATGGAGGGAGAGGAGTCAGAGCGGGTAGTGGGGAAGGTTGGAGCAGAATGGACGACCTGCATGCCTGCATGGGGTTCTCGCATCACATCGCATCACATCGCATCACATCACATCGCATCGCACCGCACCGCATCGCATCGCATCACATCACATCACAGACATACCTGCATAGGGTTCGAAGTTTGAACATATAGGCATGGGGTTCATATGACACTTTTAAACAAACAGGCATGGCGTTCCCGCGTACCTGCATGGGGTTCATGCCGTCCCATGGCTGCAGCAGCGTGACCAACTCCCACAGGATCACTCCAAAGCTGTACACATCCGACTTCTCATTGGACGGCTCGTTTCGCAACACCTCAGGCGCCATCCACTCGGGCTGAGGAGGGGAGGAGGGGGGCACACACGGGGAGGGGCATTGACAGAACGAGTGACTCAGTGCGGGAAAAATAAGAGGCATTCACAGAGTAAACGATGCCTGAGGCGGGCATTAACAGTGGAGGCTCGTTGTGGTGCAACACCTGAGGCGCCATCCACGCAGGCTGAGGAGGAGAGGAGGGGTTGGGCAGGTATGGACGGGGGAAGGAGATCACAGATACAAGGACTTTAAAGCCCTGCATGTTTGACTTCTCATTCACACGTCTACATGCTTGAGACGCATGCATGTGCAAGGGTAACATGCATGCACATGCACGGATAGCAAGCATACATCTGTGCACGTCTGGATGCATAACATACCATGCTTGCACATGGTTTTATTCACGCCTCACCATGCCTGCAAGCCTGATTTGGAGGAAAGGAAGGTGAGGCGTTCCACGTGGTCTTGTTGCGCAACATACCCAAATGGCTTATTGTTCTGAATAGGCCTCACACCTCCACGATATGCATGGCTCACCGCACCTGGTCTTGTTGCGCAACATACCCAAATGGCTCACCGCACCTGCACACTTTTGAGACGTCTCCAAAGAGACAAACGCTATGATTGCCTCGCATCACATGACACATACCGTTCCGGCGCCCGATTTGGAGGAGAGGAAGGTGCTGTTCTTGTTGCGAGATAGACCAAAGTCGCAGACCTGCCAGGGAGCAAAGCGGCCACACATGTCCAGAGAAGAGTTGTCATGTTATTGACAGTCTGTGAGTGTCTCCATAGGGTTTTGAAACGACTTCAAAGTTTCAGACCTGCCAGGGAGCGAAACAACTACACACGTGCAGACAAGATGCTTCCACTTATAAATCACAAGGCAGAACTAAAAAAAAAACTGAAAGCCGAGAAGTTCAAATAACATTTTCATTTTTCATTGCTTTGTTAAAAAAAAAAAAAATCTATTGTTTCATTTTGTTTCCAAATAACATGCATGCCCCTTTACCTTGACTGTGAAATTTTTGTCCACGAGTAGGTTGGGAGTCTTGAGATCACGATGCACAATCATGGGCGTGCAATGGTGCAGATAGTTGATGCCTCGCGCCTGGCAGGGTGTGGCATGGGAGGGAGGGAGAAGGCGGGTTGTGGGGGGGGAAGTTGGGGGGAGGGAGGAGAGAGAGGGGGGGAAGTGGGGGTGTGGGAAGGGGTGGGAAGGGGTGGGAAGGGGTGGGAAGGGGTGGGAAGGGCCGAGGGGAGGGTCTATCAGAGAGAAGGGGAGGCAGGGAGGGGCTTCTGAGTCAAAACAACAGGCATGGAAGATGATGGTTGGGATGACTCAAGATCAAAACAACAGGCATGAAAGATGAATGGTTGGGTTGACTCAAGATCAAAACAACAGGCATGGAAGATGATGGTTGGGTTGACTCAAGATCAAAACA